ATAATTCACAAGTAATCCACACCACTCCAGTCCATCAGTTAACATCTTGTGAAGTCAAAAGCTGCGTGTTTGTAAGAAACAAATCCATCAAGACGTTTTGACTTTAAACTGTTGCTTCTGGCTAAAATATGAGTTCATAATCCATAATAACACTTCCTCTAGTGAAAAAGTCCATCTCCTGTTGTCCTGTCACATCAAAATCCACCCACATAATTGTTTAGAACCATTTTGGACTGGTTTTGCTTGATCTGTGCATATTTCTCTGCTGATTCAGACAAGACAACTTTTCACTGGAAAAAGCCATATAATGCAGTATGACTAATAAAAATGTTGCAATAATGGATTTGTTTTTTTACAGCAGCTTTTCTCTTCACAAGCCGTTAACTGATGGACTGGAGTGGTGTGGATTACTTGTGGATTATTGAATCAGCTGTCATTCTGACGGCACCCATTCACTGCAGAGGATCCATTGGGTGAGCAAGTGATACAACGCTACATTTCTCCAAATCTGATGATGAATCAAACTCATCCACATTTTGGATGGCCTGAGGGTGAGTAAACCATTCCTTTATATCACTGCACAAACCAGCAGTTTCTCGTATGAATGGCAACACATTTCGCTTCAAGTGCACAGACGAGTTTCTTTCTTTCTGACCTTGCAGAAATTCACAATCAGCAGCGGGACGGAGCGCGTGGGGCAACAGAGGTCAGACGCTCCGGGAGCCACGTGCAATTCATGGATTCCCTCTCATCTCGCCACAAACTCCTGAAAGCATGTGCAGCCGAGACACGTTGAGCGACTGATAATTGATCCTCGGTTTACATACTTCGGCGCAGATTCGCATCCCGAAGGCATTTGCTTTGCAGCTCCTTGCGCACTGCATCCCACGTACAGAAAGATCGTAGGCAGCCAGAATAATCATGTCAGAACAGGCCTGTTCAAGCACTAAAATGATTCAGGGTTTTCTACAGAGGACAATTAACCCCTGCAACAATTAAAAAACATGCCAGAGGTGTGACTTCATGCTTGAACCTCCAAAAGAACGATGGAAAATTAAACTCCTGGGTGGAGTTTTCTCGGAAACTTAAGTCACCCTTGTCTGAAGGGTCCTTCACGACTTCAGACATCTGGTGCAATTGCAGCTCGCGTTTACCTTTGGCCTTTCTGCCAGTTTCATAACAGGGAATTTACCGCAGCTTTTGTCCCGGAGAAAGTCGGCCTCATTATTCACACATGCAAACAAAGCGAAATGAAATCACAATAGACTCAATATCGCCAGATAATTGTTCGGGACATTCCTCTGGCTCTCATGTTATAACTTGAGGTCAGTCCTCCGAATAACAGATTCCATGCTGTCATTAAACATTCAGCTCCAGTTGTTCTCCAAACTTCCTCCTGCTGTCAAGCCCCAGTACAGTTCAACAAAGGCAGACGGAGGCAAGCTTCGGCCTGTCCCTGCTCCATCATTATACTGCGCTCGCCGAAGTTACGGTTTCGTTTTTATGCTTCGCCTTTTTGAAATGAACTGCTTCAATGAACTTGAAATGAACAGCTTTCTGCACTGTAATATTGTCCACCTGGATGTGAGAACTGGGTCACGGCGCAAAGCTCTCAAACACCTTCCCTTCAACACTGAATCCATATTCTGGTCCTCACAAGACATATTTATTTTGAAATTTGGTAAAAGCATGCTTAATTTAGCTACTATTAGGGATGCAACGATTCACTCAACTCACGATTCGATTCGATTCACGATTTTGATTTCACGATTCGATTCGATTCAC